CGCGAGCTACATTGGATAGACGGGTTCGATATCTGCAAGGAAGACCTTCAGTTTTGCGAGCGTATATGCAGGCTGAACACGAAAGTCGCGGGCGAAAGACGTGAGGGATGAGAGTAATCGGGGATCATGTTTATACGTAGGTAGTTACTTGCGCCATCTGCATTTACGTATGTTAAGCAGGTAAGTGATTGGCCATATGCAGGTTGAGCGTGATGGTGACGGGCGAAAGACGCGAGAGAAGAGAGTGATCGGGGGTAGGTTCTGGACATAGTTAGTTACTTGTGCCGTCATTGTGCTAGGGTGGTTCCTGTGTATGTTAGGGGGGTGAGTGACTGTCTATGGCAAGCATTGCGCTTATGACTGGTGAGATCTTACGTGCTTCTGGACGGGAAAGGTGGGAGTGGTTTGGGGGACGGGTTTGATATCCGCAAGGAAGACCTTCAACTTTTGCGAGCGTATACGCAGGCTGAACACGGAAGTAGCGGGCGAGAGACGTGAGGGATGAGAGTAATCAGGAATCGGGTCTATACGTAGTTAGTTACTTGCGTCGTCTGCATTTAATTACTTGTGAGCGTGTATGTTAAGCAGTTAGGTGATTGGCTAGATGCAGGTTGAGCGTGGTGGTGACGGGCGAAAGATGCGAGAGAGGAATGTGATCGGGGGCAGGTTCTGTATGTAGTTAGTTACTTGTGCCGTCAGAGTGCTTGGATGGTTCCTGTGTATGTTAGGGGGGTGAGTGACTGTCTATGGCAAGCATGCTGCTGACTATACACTGGTGTGGTTGCGCTTATGAAGAGAGCTGGCTGGTGAGATCTGACGAGCTTCCGGACGCGATAGGAGGGAGTGTTTTGGGGGGACAGGCGTATACGTGGGTTGTTAATTGTGCTATTTGTGTGCTAGGGGCAGTACTCGTGAAGTAGCTACACGTAGGTTGCTGTTGGTAAGCATGTACGATAGATGTGTAGTTGGCTGGCTAGACGTGGGCTGAGCACGATGGTAGTGGGCGGTTGACGTGAGTGGAGAGAGTAATCGGGGGGATTGGGTCTGCACGTAGTTAGTTACTTTTGCTGTTGGGCTAAGTGTATGAGTGATTGTCTACTGGCAAACGTGCTGCTAAGCTGATTACGGGTAGCCGTGGTGGTCATGAAGAGAGTTGGTGGGTGAGTAGCGGCATCGCCCAACGGTCTGGTAGTCGTCGCGTTCATGAAGTGAGCTGGTGGTTGAGAACTGACGTTCAGCAGGGAGAGGAGGCCACGACCATCGCCGCCGAAGTCCGGACGGGGTTGATAGCAGAAGGGGAGAGCTTCCGTTTTACGAGCGGTTATGCGTGAGTATTACTTTTAATAAGTGGAATACTGGTTAATGCCACGTAAGCAGAGTGGTTAAGAATAGGAGGTGGAAAACGGTGCTTGTTGGGAATGAGTGAGTACGGGCGAGTTCGCAAATGATTATAGATGCTTAACTTGGGCAGTCGTGTTTGTTAAGAACTGAGAAGATATGTGGCTCGCTATTGAGTACTGTTTAAGTTTGAGTAGTATATAGAGCTCATCAGGAGTAACTGGCCAGGATAAGACGAGTGCGGGGTCGTGCTCTTCAGTTTGCGGAGACAGCCGGTCTGGAAGATAGACGACCAACGTGAGTAACTGGGTACAAACGAGGTTGCTATTGGGTAGCCTCTGGCCATCGAATGCTTATGGTTGGGGAGCCAAGTGAGCCATCTGGAGTAACTGGCCAGTCTGTGTCAGGTGTGTGGTCGTGTTATATTAGGAGCTGAGAAGATACGAGGTGACCAAGTCCTAAGTGAGATTTTTGTGAAGACGAGTTGTCTTGTAGGTAGACGAGCAGTTGACTGGACGTGTGTGCAGTAGTGTTTAGTAAGAACGGAGAGGATACGCGGTGATCGGGTTTTCAGACGAGCTTTTTGCGAAGACAAGCTGCCTTGCAGTTAGACGTGCAACTGACTAGGTCCTGCAATAGTGTTACCGTGTATCCTCCGCAGTCAACGCCAAGCCCCTACCCGACTGGCTATGGGGGGCCCGCCCACAACCCTGGCCCACCTTCCTCACCCCCTCCCCCACCTCCCCCAGCAGCTGGACCTGGAGGGCCATGTTATAATTGTGGGGAGTATGGGCACTTCGCACGGGATTGCCCTCATAAGCAGCATGGGAGGTACTGGCAAGGGCAAGGGCATGGAAGCTACGGACAGAGAACTTACAATCAGCAAAAAGGGAATGAAGAAGACGATCGGATGAGCAGGCTACTCATGTTCGTCGAGAATCAACAACGGGAGGCAGCCGAGAAGAAAAGAGTCGAACAAGAGAAGAAGCGGCAAGAGGAAGAGAGACAGAAGGTGGAAGAAGCGAAGCAAAGAGAGGAAGCTGAGAAACGCCGAGTGCAGGCGATTATGGAGGCGACAGCGGCGCAAACATTCACTAAGTAGATGACTGCCCTGGAAGAGAAGATCAGAGAGCATGTGCAAATGACGCTGACTGCATAAGAAGAGAAGAGTGCGATATTGCATGACAGTCTGTGGCGGTTTTTGGAACGAGCTGACCTGGATGTGCCAAGAAGATCCAGAGTTGAATAATTTCTGAACCCGAAGAGGAGGCTCAACCATGATGATTATGAGCAAGATGTGCATGTCATAGAGAGGAGTACTGCCGCACCTATTACCAAGAGAAGGACGGTGGTTTCAAGGAAGGGTAAAGAACCAGTGAATGTTGAGGCAAGGAAGAAAGGAGCGGTAGCCTCATGCTCCAAATAGGGGGTGATTGATTTCGTACTTGAGCTGCGTGAGAGTATGCAAGGGAAGCATGTCCCTGAACTTAAACAACTGTGCAAGATGAAGAATATCAAGTGGGTGTCAAAGGATCAAGCGGTCAAGGACCTGGTGGCAGCTGAGACAAGGGAGGCGTACGATGGTTGGCTCACAGGAGCGGATAGTGACGGAAGTAAGAAGGAAGATAGGTTGTCAGGAGTTGACACAATGCCACATGCTAATTGACGGTGTACCCCCCCAGCGCAGTACCTCCGGGGCAAGCTCTTGCTGTATATGGGGCTTAGAGAAACCGTATGGGGGACGTACGGCTTAACGAATCTGAGGATTAGTATTGAGCAAATGCTAATCGTGATTTCCCTCTTGCTGGTGGTGAGTGGTTTGGTCCCTTGGGCTCAAAAAATGTTCACGGTTACCCCTGCAGGTCATGACTTTTTCGACCTCAGAGGGCCTGCGGTGTACTGCTTGCTGTCCGCCTGGTGCAAGAGAATGTACATAGGGCAAACGATTCGCGGGGCGGGGGAGAGGTGGTGGGAGCATATCCGGTGTACTGAGTCTGGTAACAATGGACATGCCCCCAAGTTGTATTCGTTTTTGAAAATCTTCGGTTGGCAGAAGTATATAGTCCTCCCTATAGCGACGGGAGTCAGGGATGGACTGCAAGTGTTAGAGAAATCTCTCATCGGTAGGTTTTCGCCAGCACTGAACGTGGTTGGTAGAAATGCAGGGCGAGGCGTAAGGCTAGGCTCGGTAAGAAAGAAAGGATGACGGGAAGGACGCCTGGGTCGGTAGGGAGAACAGGGCTCTTGTCCTTCCTACGCGTAGACCGGGAGAGGCGGTATTTCAGCTTAGCTGAACTGTTAGAGGAAACTCATGCAGCAGGGATGAAGGTGTCGCAGTTCGTATCATCCGGCGGCGAGGTGTGGGGTGAGAAATGGTTGGTTATTCAGAGGCTGTTTGGAACGTCGACTGTCTTTGGCGGTGGAGGGAAGCTTCCCCTGGAAATTCCAAGCAGCTTCTAGAAAGAGGAGGCCCATTTGAAGTGGCACCGATTGTTAAGACCATGAGTGCAAGGTGTTGAGGGAAAGGCTATCTTCGGTTGTTACTACATATACCGAGGAAGCAAGCGGAACTTAAGTACTTCAATGTGCCGAAGTTGGTGTTCTTATACAGATGTGCAAGGGAGTTCAATACCAAGGCTATGAGAAGGACCCTGAAAGAAAAAATTGTTGCAGTGATTAAGAAGAAAACTGGAGTAAATATCAGGATGAAGGTCAGTGTGGGGGTGAAGTATAGCCATCAGCTGAGGAAGAGGAAGATACACGGATACGGTTGTGCTATGTGTAGACAAGAGCAGAATCCACCCTGTTTTGAAGATGGTGTTACGACGACGAGTGAGAGTGGTGTGGAAGAAAAACAAGACAGTGGAGCAAGTGGTCGCCAACCATCGAAAGGTGGCAAAGGTGGCTAGTGGGCACTGCACTTGTGACCAGGATCAACTGCCGAGGGAAGAAGGACACGTGTTGGCGCATATTGCGCAATGTTCAATGGTTCTCACGTTCCTGCATAACGGGAAAAATATCCTGCAAGGTGAAGGGGATGCCAGGCAGACAGAGGTGCAGCAGGCAGTTGAGCGATCCTTGAAGGCTGTTATGAAGGGAGACCAGATCCGGATGGTGGACCAGTTCTTTTTTCAAGATAGCATTTTGGAACGCGCAAAGAGGAGACTGGCGTGCTCAGAAAAGCAAGCACGTGAGCTGGCAGCAATGATGAGCCACTTGGTTGTGGTCCCAGTAGACAAGAATCCTGGGGACCTGGTAGTCATGTGTCCCTCCACATACCACTATGGTCTCCAGTTGATGTTCAACCAAAATGTGGCGTACCAGAAGGTTTCAGATAAGGCAGAGTTCAGAAGACTAGGCCAACCCGACGGCCAAGATTGGACAAGCATATGTCCTGCCCAAGCATAAGGATCTGACGAGGTGGAGGCCCATCGCGCCAGCTTGTGTGGAAGGTGCAAAGACCGCAGGGAGAAGGCTAGCACGGGCGCTCAACTTCCTGCTTGAAAGAGTACCTAAAGCCAGGCACTTCAACCTCAAGGCTACAACACTGCTAAGAGAGAACCTGGAAATGGCTGGATGGAGACACAGTATTTTCGGAGCAAATTCGATGGCCCTGATGGCTAGTTTCGACATTAAAGAGATGTTCACGTCGTTGCCACACCGTGCGATAACCCAAGCCGTTGATTGGCTGCTGCAGCAGTGGGAGGTGAAAGGTGTTTCCAGGATGAGCCTTAGTAGGCGAAGCCCGATTGTGGTTCTCAACCAAAGGAGCCTTGGACCAGGGTATGTAGTGGTCAAGTTTAGCCAGATCCAGCGGATGGTCAGCTTTGAACTGGACAACACATACATCATGTGCAGGATAGAGATCCTTAAGCAGGTTGTAGGGATACCGATGGGGAAGAATTCCAGCCCCTCGCTAGCGTGTGTTTTATGTGCAAAGCAAGAGGTCGACTTCATAACCTCGTTGGGCGCTGATCAAAAGCTGGTGCACGGGGTCAGACTGGTAGATGACGTCACGATTGCGGTGGCGTGTGACATGTATGACTGTCGGAGTATAGAGGCAGCGAAGGCTATCCCTCAGGAATTTGCGGAAGCATATGGGAAGCAGCTGGTGCTCGTACGAACTGATGATGGCTCCAACTCTTGGGATTTCCTGGGAATGAGGGCGACAGCCTTACCAGGTCCGATTACGTTGACCATTCGCCCCGGACATAAGAATGAAGGGGGCACGCTAGAGGATCCCCTTGCCTTCAGATGTTTCCAAGACTTCTCTTCGTATTTGGATAAGCGAGTGAAGGCAGGTGCGGATCAAGCACCATGCAAGTGATCCAGCAACGGGTGTCCCAGCGACGCTCTCCATTAGCATTGAGCTGAAGCGCCGGGGGGTACCCCCAGCGCTCTTCTCCAATGCTCTGGCGATATTTGCCAGAGCCACCGGTTTGTTCGGGGCAGCGGTGAAGACGCAGACCGAACAACTGGTTAGGACACTGAAGATAGAAGCACCTCGAGGAGAAGCGGGAGAGATGCACGACTAAACGGGTGCTACAGGGAGAGGGGCTGTAGAGGAAAGGGGAAGCTGCCATGTACCATATTGTAGATAGCTGGGAGTAACCAAGTGAGCAGGGTTGGGCGAGAGTCCTGGTGGTAGGTCTTGGTTACGACTGGGTTGTACAAGTAAAATAAGATAAGAGCCCGGGATTAGTAAATCGGGCTGTATGTTAATCTGGGCAGGAAAAGAAGGGTCTGAGAGGTAATAGTAGATGTGGTACGGCTACTGATGCGTGCTACGGGGAGAGGCGAGTAGCTGGGGTAGATGGAGAAGGGATACGAGGTAATAACGGGATAGGCTGGTGCCACACGGTACCGGGTGTATACTAGGGTAGCCGGAAAAAGGCAGTAGGGCTAGTCCAGCGTCACCGGGGCCAATAGTGTCGGAACTGGTTCGCTGTCTGGGGGGTTCAGACTGGCATGGATTTAGCGCATGAATCAGGCCTGGGACATAGGAAGTTAGAGGCGCCGACGTGCCCTTTTCGCAGCGGGCAGCCTGTACCATCAACTTTTGCACGTGAGAATTTGTATACTTGGCGCATGTGAAGGCGCACACGTGAGGTTGTTGGAAGGAAGGGCTTGCCTACGTGCACGCCAGGTCAGTTACGAGCAAGTCTAGTCGACACCCGCCCAGTGAGTTGCAGCTTTGAGGGATGCGGGTGTGCGGACGCGGAGGCTGTGCCGGATATATGACTGAGGGCAAGGCCAGAACGACCCTCTTTGCTCTAGGAAGGTTCGCCACGTGGATGTGGGAGAGTGGATGCCCCTTGAGAAGTCCTGGTGCGCAGCCAGGCGAAACGCGCCGGGGAATGTGCGCATTGAGCTGATTGTCTGTGCAGGTGCTGTTCTGTTTATCACTAAGGCATGGATGTGTAGCGATTGGCCTCACTTTTTCAAATTCAAATTCTTCTCCTACGTGTTGTTTTTCTTCTTTTTCTTTTGCGTTTTCGGTTATGGCAGGTGGTGGGGAGCGTGAGAG